TTCAACTCTTCTTAAAACACTAAATGGCTCCTCATTGCCTTCAGGATAAAAATCTAAATCTTTATCAAAATCCTCACCATGATATGACAAATCACTTAAGATCTGTCCCAATGTACTTTTCTAAATATTTCTTTCCCTTCTTTATTCTACAAGCAGACAAGGTGGGGTGGGTACATCATCCTTCCATTATGATTTTTCATACCTCATGCTTTTGATTTTATTTAAACTTGGAATATCTTTCTCAAATTTCTGCACCTGAAAACATTATATTTTTCCCTCAAAATACAAGTATAATTACATTTTCTCTGAAGATTTCTTCATATTCCTCCTTATTCTTTCTACCTTACAGACACACTACAAATGGGCAAACTTAGTTGTTATTTCTATTTGTCTTATATTTAATTCACACCACTAATTATAGCCTTTTCCAGGGTTTTATGGCTCTATGATAGCTGGAAATGTAAGAACCTAACCCATCAAGGCATAGACAGTTAATGTCACAACTGGAGCAATGACCTCCAGCATTCAAGCCAGGGAGCCAGGATGACTGTTGGTGTCATCCTGCTGCACTGGACAGAAGGAGCTCTAAGACAATCCCAGTGTCTCTGTTACTTACTACCATGCGTCTGTGAATAACTTCCTTTAACATTGCTTCATGGCAGAATCCACAGAGCTGATGCCTTGTTTTCTAAAAGCTACCCTGGGAACAGCAGCAGGAAAAACAGCATCCCTCTTACCACATCAGGACATCATTATGAAGGTGACATCTTAATAGTGTTTGGCCTTGTTATCATTCCCAGATGCTTGGATAAACAGAATGCCCCGGAAATGGAGTCATTTTGAAAAGTGCTGCAGTGATCCCAGTAGCTAGGCTTTCTGAGAGGCAATCCACGGTGGCTTGTGGAGTGGGCAGCCACAAGTGCACTGTGCTTAATTGACCTGTTAATTCCAAAGACCTTCCCAGGACCAGACCAAATATGAAAATACTCTTGACATCAAAAGAGCCTTTTCTTTTCTAAAATGGGAATTGAGATCGAAATGACAAGCCCAGTGAATTTATGTATTTTAATCCAATTGCAGCTATCAGAAAACCCAATAAAGAAGCTACTGTATGCTGGTGAAATAAACTATGGAAGGACACACTTGATAGTGCCAAAAGCAGGTTTGTAATGAAGCCAGTTTCTGTGAATAAAAAATTCTTCTAAATAATCATTTTTCTAATACAGACTAGAAGTTGGAGACCTCACATAAAAATGTATGATACATAAAAAAGAATAGCAGTTCAACTCTGAAACAGTATCTTGGTCCTGGGAGCTGAAGAACTTTGGTCCAAAAGTTTAAAGGAGCTCAGGTCTCTTCTGACAGTACTTGCAGGACTTAGCCTGGTCCCTTATGTTCCCCAAGGAAACATGGACAAAAACACCTGCCTTATAAAGACATTGGCCAGTAAATGTGATAGATAAATGAAATGGTAGCACCCTTGGCTGCTGAAGACAGCACACACAAGGCTGAGGAACTGGAGTCTTTATGGTACCATTCACTCATCCAGCAAATCATCATCAGGCACTGACTGTACGGCAAGCACTGAGCTCTGAGGATGAGTAGAAAACAAAAGAAGCAAAATTCTCTCCCCTTGAAGAAGTAACATTTAATGGAGGACAAGAAAAGGGAAGAACAAAACAAAGAAATGAATGAATTGTGTATTAGAGCACAGCAAAATGGTATGAAGTGTGGAGAGCAGTAAAATAATGCAAGGCATGGAGGCCTGAGGGGTGGGGAGGATTTTGGTGTTCCACATGACGCCCAGGGAAGATGTCACTGAGGCTGTGGCATTGGGACACTAGAGAAGCACATGGGGAGGTGAGTGAGAGCAGGTGGGGCATGAGGACATCAGGGGGAACCCAGCATGACGGACCTGAGAAGAGGGAAGACTATGTATATGTGCAGCGAACAGCGAAGGGGCTGTGGCCCAGTGGTGGGAGGAGGGTCTGAGATTAGCAGGAGCCAGGTGCAGAGCTTCTGCCTGTCTCTGAGGGTGAAGGGGCACCCTGCAGGGTTCCCAGCCCATAGGAACAGGGTCGGCTGCATTTTCTGCTGTCCCTCTGCTGCTGTTTTGAGAATAGGTTTGTAGGAAGACACCCAGCTGGAAGTCAGTAGGCAGCTGTCAGGATCACCCAGCCCGTGCTTAGAACCAGGCTTGTGGCCCCAGAGGCACTGAGTGATGGTGAGACAGTGAGTTCATCTCACAGACAGAGACCATGGGATTTCCCACTGGGGTGAGAGAAAAGGCAAAGGGGCCAAGAATGGCAGCGGGCGTTTGAACTGGCCAAGGGAGGAATGCACAGGCCATTGTAACACCACTGGAGACTTGGTCCAATGGGGGCCAACTTAAAGCAAAGAATTGAACGTGATCTTTTTGCCTGCATTTGTGTAGATGTTTGTAAGGTGAAACAGGGGAACACTCAAGAATTCTTACATCTTTTCACTGGAAGATACTCTATAACAGACATTTTTTCTTGCATCTATACATTATTCTATGAGGTTCATTTGATCTCAACAAAATATCCTTGGTAGGAAAAGTGTTTTCAAAACATTAATGAGGAAGGGACACAAAGATATTATTACCAGGGTTTTATAAGGACAGGGACCAGCTCAGAGAGGTCAACATGCGCTAAGGTTGAACTCTTCTGAGTTCTCCTCCATGCTCTGCTCTATCCACAGTAAGCTCATTCTTAATAGAAGTAAAGATTTTTGTGGTGGCACACGCCAAGAAGCCCAGCACTTGGGAGGCTGAGTCAGGAGAATCACAAATTCAAGCCCAGCCTGAGCAACTTAGAGAGACCCTGTCTCAAAAATTTTAAAAAGGTCTGGGGATGTAGCTCAGAGTGAGGATCCTGGGCTCCATCTCCAGTATTACCAAAAGAAAAAAAAATAATAAAGATTTTATTTACAATAAATTTCTTGGGTTTTAACAACTAATGAACCCCTCAACTAAATAATGCTGATATACACTGCACAATAGATCATGAGATTTTCTCTTTTTTCCCCTTTAAACCTTATTTTTCACCCATCAAGTTATAAATGCACATAATCTTCTGAGATTTTTTTCCAGTACTGAGGATTGATCCCAGTGCTTTTGCACTGAGCTACATCTGTAGCCCATTTTTGTATTTTTAATTTTGAGACAGGGTCTCACTAAGTCTGAGCTGGTTCAAACTTGTGATCCTTCTGCTCCAGCCTCCCAGAGTGCTGAGATGCCAGGGATATCCCACCATGTCCACCTCTAGCATTTCCATTTCAAATCCATCTTCACATTTTAGTTTTGATACATAGAAACAACAAAATTAGAAGGTTGCCAGGCGCAGTGGCACATGCTTGTAATTGCAACTCTCTGGGGGACTGAGGCAGGAGGATCGCAAGTTTGAGCCCTTCCTGGATAACTTAGTGAATTAGAGAAACCCTGGCTCAAAACTACAAAAAGAAAGGGCTCAGGATGCAGCTCAGAATGAAGGTTCTGGGCCCAGCACCACCAAAATATATAGATAAATAAGCAAGTGAATGGTGCTTTAACATCTTTCCAGCAGATACTACTTTCAGCACCAATGCTAGAGTGTGAGGTGCACAGGTCAGAAATCAGTTTCTCCTCTTTCTCGCTTCTATTTGCCCTTCTAGAATGCTCTGAGAGATGCCAAGCGCTGCTGGAAGAGAAAGGTTGTAACAATCTGGGTTTCCTCCGCTGCAGGGCAGAGAGAACCCTGCATGTGGGTTTCACAGTCTTCTCACTCCCCAGGGGTTTGAGGTATGCGGAGCTCTGGCGGAGAATGGAAAGCAAGGGCTCAGAGGTGGGGACTGCTGCTTGCAATGTTCCTTTGTTTGATTTTTTTCCTGTTATTGTATATGAAACTTTGAAACCATCCTGACTTTCCATGCCAAAGACACATGCCAGCACAGGTGCCAGCCTCCTCGGCGCTTGTTTAGACAGGGGGAGGACAGGAGCCTGACCTTTACGGGGGCCACAGTGGAAGCAGGCAGGGCCTCATGGAGAAGGTCCCTTGTGGGACGCAGATGTCCCCTCATGAGACCCTCCGCCACCTTTCAGTGAGGAAACTACAGGGAAAGTGCTCTGACTTGCCAGCAGGCTGAGCATGTTGTGAATCTGTGCAAAAATCTGAGATGCTCTAGAAAAAGCACCTTCTTGGCTTTAAATATATCACACAACTGATGCTCACAACCAGTGGCCTGTGTGTGTGTGTGTGTGCATGTGTGTGTGGGGGGGGTATGGGGGTAGAACCTAGTGCCTGTGCCTTGAACTCCTCCAGCCCTTGTTTTTTGGTTTTTTTGTATTTTTAATTTGAAACAGGGCCTCACTAAATCACTAAATTGCTCAGGCTGAGCCCAAATTTGCAATCCGCCTGTCTCAGCCTCCCAGGGTGCTAAGATTACAGGCATGAGCCGCCACAACCAGCCCAGGGGCATCTCTTTCTTGGCAGGTTAGGCAGGTGTATTTTATCTATTGAGTTATTTTTGGTAAATCTTTATGAGATGCTAGACTTACAGACCTGCCAGCTTGGCTGGTTTGACGATGTTGAACAGAAGATGCCACCTCTAACTTGCTTGATCCATTCTCCATGCTCTCCCCTCCCAGACACACACACACACACACACACACACACACACACACACACACACATACACACACGCCTCTGCACACTGGTTATTTGCCTGGCCCATGCCGAATGAGCTAAGAGAGGCCAGAATGTTTCCTGTTGCCACCTGCGCTCACCCTGCCCGTGTCCCCCGGGACGACAGTAAGCCCTGTTATTTCAAGGGAGAGCAGAGGAGGTAGACTGGCTCCCTCCGTGCGGCCCAGGGTGCTGGATTGCTGTTAAAAGGGTGGGCTCCACTTCCGCCCGGCTACAGCTAGACCCAAAGAACCGGCTGGAAGGATAGCACATTACAACGGGCTGCAGGACAGAGCAAACCGTATCGTTTAAGCTCACTTTTGCCCGTGCGTCTGCTGCTGGCAAATTCCGAGTGTCCTCAGGCCCTGCTGTCCTGTAAATCAGCCTGCTCTCACCGCTGTGTTGCTAATAACTGCAGTGACCTCTAGCGGTACTGAGTTTTTTCACAGAAACAAAAGCTAAAACAGCCTTTGCTCACGTCAAAGGTCACTTCCAGCATCAACTTTTACTATATCGTTTATAAGCCCCAAATTCCAAAGTTGATTAAATGGAAATAGATCTGGTGTTGAATTGAACTGGTGTGTTTAGTAATTAAAACTCTACTGGGTTGTTAGGGCTGTGTCTAGATGTGTGTGTCGTGTGTCCCCGCCCCCGGCCAAAGCCTTGTGAGGTCATAGGTGATCCAGGGTGTGTGCTGCTGGGATCAAGGACGTGATGGTGGGATTGATTCACGGTGCCATGCTAGGATTAAGGGTGTGAGTTCTGCCCACTCCAAGGGACAGTAGCCTGGGGTAGATAAAGAGGGCAGAAAGCTCTTCTTGGGGTTGGTCGCTTGTGGCATATTGTTGCTGCCATTTGTCTTCTGTTCGAGACGCTCTCTGCCGTGTACCACCCTGCCTTGGAGCCAGCCGATTATGGACTGAAACCTCTACACACTGTGAGCCAAAATAAACCTTTCCTCCTTTAACCTGGGGTGTCGGGAATTTTGTTTCAGCAATGAGAAAAAGTAACTAAGACATAGGTACTTTCGATAACCCTTCTGAATCTTATCACACCCTCAACCCCATTTGGCTGTTACTACTAAGCCATGGAAATCATTCATTACAACCTAATAAACCCTGTGTGTGCCTGATATTCGCCCAAACAGACACAAAAGAATAAATGAAGATGAAAGATGGCCAGGCTCCTGTGAAAATACAAAAAAATACATTTTAAAATGTACTAAAGTAGATGTTGACCCCTACTAGAATAACCCCTATTTGATGCTTTATGGCTTTGGGGGCAACTTTGCTTTTTCTGATATGAGACAAAACAGACTCTCTTAGTTTTTGGGTTTTTTTTATTAGTACAATGGACTCGTGACTTAAGAACTCAATTTGTTCTCAAGGGCTGGTTGTAACTCAAGTTGGTCACCTGAAGGCTCAGGATCCTCTCCACAGCCCTCACAGTCTCTCTCCTGTGTACAGGTAGATCTCAGTGTCCATAGAGAGATAGTGGCCCAGAAGTTCTCTATTAACCCCACACAGGAAAGGATGTTGTAATGTTCCCTCCAGAGCTCTTTAAGGGTTAAATCTGTATCTGAGACCATCTGGAAGCACAAGCGGCTGGCATTCAGGTCATAACTCAAGACTTTGGTCTAAGTTAAAACTTAAATTCTGGTTGTTTGTATGTCAGGCCGGTTGTAACTCGAGAGTCCACTGTACATGTTTGTGATGCATACTAATGATTCATCTTGGGGAATCGGTCCATATACATATTGCATCTTCATCATTTTTTTTTCTTCATCTTTATCATTTTTATTTCATCTTCCCCTCCTCACTCTCCTATCTCCACTCATCTCCAAATCCCCTTCCCATCTCCATAAAGTCTACCACCCTGTTTCCTATCATTTATCTTTTATTTTGCTGTTATTTATATTTTGGGTCATTCATACAAGAGAAACCATGCAATAGTACACCTCATGTGTCTGATGTATTTCACTTAGCATTATGATCTCAAGGTGCATCCATTCTTCCTGAAATGGGTCATATTTATTCTTCTTCATGGCTGGAGTACTCCACTGTGTATATACCACATTTTCTCTATCCATTCCTTTATTTTATCAGCCCCTTCTAAGATTTAGCTATTGTGAGTTGAGTTGCCATAAACATGAGTATGCATCTATCACCGTAACAAGATGACTTTAACTCTTTTGGGAAGATTCTCAGAAGAGGTAGAGCTGGGTCAAATGGAATTTCTACTTTTAGTTTTTTGAGGACTCTATATCCTGATTTACATAGTGGATGTACTAGTTTACATTCCCAATAATAGTGCGGAATGTTTCCTTTTTTCCTCAACCTTGGCAGCATTTGTTGTTTGAGTCCTTTCTGAAGTAATGTAGAATCTCAGTATTGTTTTGATTTGCATCATTCTAATGGCCAAAGATGCTGAACGTTTTTCACATACTTATTAGCTATTTGTACTTCTTCATTTGAGAAGTATCTATCATTTTAATTGCCCATTTTTTGATTGGGTCTTTTATTTTCAGGAATCTAATTTTTCTGAGTTCTTTATATATTCTATACGTTAGTCCTCTGTCTGAGAAACAGCTGGCAATTTTTTTTTCTCATTCTGTATGTTGCCTCTTCACTCTTTTGGTTGTTTCTTTTGCTGTGCAGAAGCTTTTTAATTTGAAACTATCCCACTTGTTTATTCTTGGTGTTATTTCTTGCTCAACTGGATTTGACACAGATTCTGCTAGGATAAAGCAGGCATATCCACTGACATGCAAGAAAACCTTCTCCTGGGCACTGGGAGGTTTGGCCCCAAAGACAAATGTACTCTGCTATAGCTAAAAGATAAATAAATGATAAAGAAAACAAAATTCAGAAAACATTTTAAAACATCATTTTAAATTTGTTTTATTTATTCAGCATTATATGTCACTTCTTTCTGGATAATTTGACCTTTGAATAAATGTACCTTTCAATAAAGCATACATTATATAAGCATGTGAAGTGATAACTTTTTACTTTTATATAATTTTCATATAAAGAAGCTCACAATGAGGAAAGTATTTGTCAGCTTCTATTATATTTTATAATATATTGTCTGTGTGTAAAGAAGTAAGAGCCTCAAAAAACATATTAATGTTCTAATATAACATTGCTTGTTTTTATTTGATGGTTACATGAGGCTAAAAAAATATTTTTACTTCATATAAAGTATGATTGCCTCTTATTTCTCCACTTACACTTCGCGAAAACCTTTGTGATATCTGTTGACAAGCTAATGGATTTATCACAAAGAACTATTCAGGTTGGACAGAAATTTATAAATTCCTTCAGGTTAAATCGATTTAAAGCCCTCAAAATGAATTCACAAAACTTTAAATTCTCCCCTTTAACAATTATATTTGGTAATAGTAGATAAGAAATTTACTCCTAACACAGTGTCTTCTTAAAAGAGCACTGGAATTTTCTTGAAACACTGGGTTGCATTTTTGGGAATTCTCTTCAATTTCATTTTTAGGATTTCTATTTCTATTTCATATATGCCCAATTTATCCCCTATAGTACAAAAATAACTAATTAATATCAAAAATGTTCTGTTTTGAAACTCATTTTAAAACATATCCTTTCTTATTTATTTTTATCCTATTTATGATTTATCTTATTTATTCTAGCTGGTCATCAGTTTTAAGATGTGGTTGCTCCATGGTAAGGTTGAGTCTGATTAGGAATGGAGCACACAATTCATAAAGAAATAGTATAGGAAATGTTTATAGGTAAAAAATGAAAAATTAGAATACCATTTGTATTTATAAAGTATGATGATTTTTATTTTTCTTCATCAGGTTGTACTGGCTCAGTTTTTATATTTAAACCTCTACTGATGATGTAATAGTCTTTCATAAGAAATTATCTTAACAAACATTATACTTGTTGAAGTGTTTTTCCTTATCCTCAACTATTGGACCGAGAGCAAATATACTGGTTTTAATTATCTGAACTTAAATATTTCTTTTTAAAATAGCCATAAGCCTATCTCCAATAAGAAAGAAATCAGTTGGCAACACAGATTAAAAGATAAACTTAATGATGAGCTGAAGAATCCATAATATATGGATGTCTGAAACTGTATGTGGTCTTCATCAGAAAAGTGTTAGAAGGGCCGGGATTTAGCTCAGTGGTTCCGCCGCAGGCCTCGAAAGGTCAAGGTCTGGAGTTTGATCCCTGGTACCGAAAAGAAAGAAAGAAAAGAAAAGTTAAGTTTTAGGGACTTTTATTAGATATGTAACTGCTCTAGGGAGTTTGAAGGTAGGTAGATTTAGCTTCAAGGAGTTCCAAAAATTTGAGAGATACAAGAGGTATAATTAGGAATATTAAAGTTTGCAGCTGAGAGCGTTGCTTTGTACCATTCAGTTTTACCACATGCAGTTTTTAATCTTCTCTCCGTTAAGCGCTGGTGAAGAGGTTTGAGCCCCTTTGTCCCTTGGTTAATTATTATCTCAGCAGTTTGCTGCCACCTAGTGTCCTGGCTAGTGTCATCTTTCCAGTCGGTGATGTAGGAAGAGCTGGACATCACCTGCCCAAGAGCACAGGATACAAAAGCATGGGCCCAGTGACGTCAGGACATGATATTCAACTACCATTAACACGTGTCCTGCAGTAGGGATGGTCAGGGAGTCAGGGGAATGGAAACACTTGTGTTTTCAAATTAAATTAGAAAAACATCTTACCCATTCACAGGCACCTGAGATTCAAGCCCTATTAAATAAAGGATGAGAATTCTCACAGCTACAGCCCTACCAAATGAGTTTAAGTAGCACAATCTCAAAAGGTTGGGAAGGATTGTACAGGGATTCACAGCGTGCTAGGCCTACCGTTTTCAGGGATACTTTGGATATTTCTCCTTGTAGAAAGGAAATTTCTCCTCATTTTGTCTACAAAATTTTAGATCACCTCAACTGACGTCTTCCATTTATTTCCAGCTGCAATTGCATCCTGAATTACTTATGGAAGCCTGGTTGCTCTTAGGGTCTGACAAACATTGTTTGACATCCACTTTTCTCTCAGAGCCTGTTCTACTTATAGCTGTTCTGAAGAACAGATTTCATTTTAGGAACTGAACACAGTGCTATTACATAAAGTCTGATTGATAGGAGTTAAGGTGGGCAGAAGTTATCAAAAATATGAAAATCAGGTGTTTGACACGCAGGCATGAACTGTGATTAAGGAGGTGGGAGGGTAAAATTGCCTCACTGGCTGGATGGTGCGTTGGCAGGACCAGCCCGCACTGCCAATCCCTAGACCTGAGCCCAGCACCTTCGCAAACTCTTAAACCCCATAATTGGAAGAGGTCCCCTTTGGCCATTGATTTGGTCACAAGATTAGTTTCGTTTGATCATTTTCCTATATGTCTTACCAGACTAGAATATTTGAACTCATGGGGGAATAGCCTCAGGAACCACAGCCCAAAAGAAGTTATGAGAATGGAAAAAAGGCAAAAAAGAAAAAACTCAGCCTAACTACTATATCCACCCTAAGATCTCTTTCCCTTCTTATCTCTGCCATTTCCTGGCCATTGGTTTTCGCACAATTCCTACACTCACTCATTCGTAGTCTCGTGTACACACATTTGTCACTCCCCTCTCTGTTCTATGAAGAATATATGCTGGAGAATCATGCTCCTGGTAGCAGAATAAGCGTTGAACTAGGTTAAAATCTATAGTTGTAAAGTTTAGCCATAATCTTTAATCTTTTGGATGGATTGCAAATATGCCTCATCTCTTTCCTACATGGTTATGGGCTCAGACTCCTGGAGCATAACAGAGTATCTGTGAATAAAGCACATATAACATTTGTCTTTAATTTTATAATTCTGAACACTCTCATTTAAACAGTCTCATTTATCAGGTATAATCTCTAACAGGGGCAAGACTATTTCTCTGCTTTGATTGTTAGGTTCTTGGCTACCTGAAGGAAGACTTGGATGTGAATGAAGAATTTATATGATCTTGTTAGCTCTGTTGTGTCCTTATATATGCAATGATACTCTTGATGAAGACATTTCTACAGTTCCATGTTACTGGTGAGAAAAGTACTACTTGGATAATAAACCATAATGCAAATTGCACATATGTGTGGATATACAGTCAGCCTTTGTACCCATGGGGAGTTCCAATGTTCCACATGATATCAAAGTCCATGGGTGCACAGGTCCCTCATACAAACTGTATGGTATGTAACCTACACGCATTCTCCTTGTATGCTTTATATCATGTCTCAATGATTGATAATACTTAATACAATAGAAATGTTATGCCAATAGTTGCTATACTATATTTTTTAGAGAATAGTGATAAGAAAAATGTGAATATGTTCAGTACAGGCATAATGTTTTTCTGAAATATTTTTATCTAAACTTTGTTGAATCCATAGATAAAGAATCCATGCATAGAGAGGGACAACTGTACAAATATATACAGATACAGATGGATAAGCACATACACTACAGGAACCCTGAGATCAAGAAGAAGAGTCTTCAGTTAAATATTAGATAAGGAAAATTTCCATATCTAAAAAAGACATCTTGAAATGTAGATTTATAGTGCAGAACCAGAGTTGCCAATTGCTAACATTCATAATTAACATTATAATAATAATTGCTCTTTCTTAAAAAAAACCCTACTAACACTGTATTCCATAAAGAAGGCTGAAAACACTTTTGTACACTCTTTTATCATTATAATCAAAGGCTTTTCTCACTTTGTTTTATCAATTTAAGTGATGTAACTGTAATGGTGACTCTACTGATGTGCTCTTGGTAGGATATTAAAAAGAAACTTTTCTACCAAAGGATGGAAAATAAAAACCTTGAGCAGGGAAAAGCGCACATTCCAAGCATGTTAGCTAATTTCCTGCATAATGACAGTACATGTGGACAATGTGTGTTGTTGTGTTTTATCTGTAAAAAAGGAAAACGAAAAGATGCAAATGCCTTTCCATATCTTCTGGAATCCTGCTAGAAAATTCACTTAATTAAACAGTAACTTTGTGCAACTTTGAAAAGATTGTCAATAGTGCATGCTATTTTAAACAAAATAAAACTAATACTTTCTCTTTATACCTCCAGCAGCCCTACATTTTAATGAAACAGACTCAGACTAGCTCAATGCGTATTTCTGGCCTTTGATCATTAAAATTCTTCATCTGTGGACTGCTAGCCACAAATAACCAACTTGAGAACAAGCCAAACTAGATGACTTTCTTGTTTCTTCTTACCATTTCTGGCTTTTTGAACCTTTTCTTCTCACTTAATGAAGCAAAGATAACCTAAACAAAGACAAGCCAGCTGTCTGTCCATTCTTTCTAATCAGCTTGCATATTATCAAACTAGGAGTGACCTTATTCCTCATTTCATCAAAAAGGGATTTAGTGGCTTATCTAACCTTCTCCTGGAAGAGTGAAATGATATTGACCAGAACGACAAATTATAAACTTGTGAGTCAAGGTTGACAATACAGAAACAACAGGAAATAACTATGGAGCTGTTCACAGCTTGTCACACTGGCTAATGTAAGACCACATGTGTGTCTTACCTTGACAATACCTTAAACTCTGGAATTTCCTTCCGCTGGAATAAATTTTATGGTGTTGTGAACCAGGGAAGCAGTGTGGCATATGTGTAGTGGGGAAAAGACACACCCTATGATCATAGCATAAGTCTGAATCTCCAAAAGGCCACTTACCAGCTGGGTGGCTTTGACAGTTTCCTAATGAACATGAACTGCTTAACTGTAAAATGGACATAAAAATATATTTCCAATAGTACCATGTGAGAAACTGAAGATAATATGCAAAAAATATCTAGAACATATCTTTAACCATATTGAGAGCATCACAGAAGTTGAACTATAAAAGAAAGAATGGGAGACAACCATGTTGAAAACACAAGTAGAAAAAAGCCTGGAGATGAGGATAAATCAAGTAACTCTGCACCAAAAACTTTACCTAAGATCTTATGAGCAGCATGAGGCAGGGAAGTCGGATGATGGCGATTTTTTGGAAAGGAGGCCCTGGCCTAAACTGGAGCCACTCTGCTACTACCTGTTGTCCTCTTAGATTCATTTCTGAAAGCACTGAAAAAGTAGTACTCATGGGGAAATCATCATTCTGCAAAAATCATACTTAATATCAATTTTGTGAACTGCAAGGCAGTCTTGGCAAACACTGCTTTTCATCACCCATTTGGCTCATGCCGAGTTGGCATATTCAGAATTTTGTGTGTTATTCAATCTAAATAAAGCACTTTTACTTGGAGATAGTTCCACTGCTTTACTGAATTGGAAAGCTAATCATCCATCAGTAATATGCAGTTAAGGGTTTTTATGGAAAGATGGCATTTTTACTATTGATCCAAAGGTGGCATTATCTTTGAAAGAAGGGCTGAAGTGAAGTTCCTCTCCATATGTTTAGGCAGAAGTGAGGCATCTGTGTGCTTCTGTGCTGGGCCCTTCCTCCTTGTAAACCTTATTTAATTTTTTTAGCTAGCTTTCCCAGTGCTCCAAAAATCTGCAGAACCAATTTTAATGTATGTCAAAAAGCATTTTGCACTAGATAAGAAGGCAATATAAAAAGTTGCCTCAAAAGAAGGAAAAAATGTTGCAAAAATATACTAATATTCACCATATTGTGGTTAGATGTAAATTTTGGATAGGCAAATCAGCTTCCAGTTCAGAAAAAACACTCCCCTAAGAGCAAACAACTGGTAAGTTGAGCTTTATCAAAATTTTAAATTATCAGCATATCATAAGACTCCATTCTGAAACCGAATAAACACACCACCAACTCAGAAAAAATGTAGTACATATCTGATAAAGGGTACATAAAGAACTTCTACAAATCACTAATTTTAAAAATGCAACAAATATTTTTGAAAGTTTTAGGTGTTGAAAAGAAGACATAAAAGTAAACATGAGATAAGATTAATAATAATACCAACAAGAATGAAAATGGGGAAAGGAGATTCAGAGGAAGGAGTTGGGAGGGAAGGGTATTAAAGAAAACAAGCTGTATTATGTACATGTGCCCACTCCCCAAGGCGACTGGAGGCTGCACATACTGCAAATACGTGCTAATTTTAAAAAATAAGTGAACATGCTTCCACCATCATTAGTTGTCAGTGAGATGCAATTTTAAATCAATAAAGTACCACTTTCAACTTAGGTCAAGTTAAAAGCAGTCACAACACCAAGCATTACTAAAGATATGCAGCACCGAAAACTGATACTGCTGGTGTTCATTTCATATGGTGCATGACTTTAGAGAACGGACGTTCAGGGAATCGTCTTCTACATATAATCACGAGTAACTTTGCAACAGGAAAAGCATGGGGAAAATGCATCCTTAGGTGACCCTGCCATTGTACAAACATCACAGAATGCACGTACACAAACCTGGATGGTCCCCTTCTACACCAATCTCTCCCCAGGGGCTCAATGCAATCAAGAGATGTGTTAAACATGAGATGCCTGTGGCTGCTGCCAGCATCATGTGGCAGAATGTCTTACAGCAAACTTTTATTTTCTATAAGTAGAGGAAGCACACTCTAAAATAGTTTAGTAAATATATAAACTAGTAACATAGCCATTTACTGGCATTATCAAATGTCATGATTGGATTTTTAAAATGTTTTTTATTGGTACCTATGTGCAGTACATAATGATTACATTTATTGTGGGGAGTTTGTATATGTGCATAACATAATGCACGGTAATCATTTTTCAGTCCCCTTCCCCTCCCACCCGTCCCTGGTCCCTCGATCTCTTGTTCCCCTTCCCATTTGCGAAAGCTCTATTTCCATTTTATTCTTCAATTCTCTTTCTCTTTTTAAATCCCTTTTCCCTTTCTACCGTCTCTGCTCCCACCACCTCTTGTTCTCCTTCCCATTTAAAAAAGATCTCCCCACTTTCTTTATTGATCTTTTATTTTGCTGTGCATAAACACCCTCCCAAAGCTCATGTGTTGAAAGCCTGGTCCTCAGATGATGCTGCTATGTGGAGGTGGCAGAAACTCTAGGAGGTGGGCCAGCAGGAGGAAGTAGGTCACTAAGGGCATGCCTTTAAGGCTATCTTTTGTCCTCAGGGCCTTTCTCCTTTACTCTCTGCTTCCTGGCTACCATGAAGTGAGCAACTTCCTGGGTCTTGTGCTACTCACCTTGATGTTCTCCCAAACTTGAGGGTCAAAGCAATAGAGTCAGCCAGCTATGGACTGAGCCCTCTGAAACCATGAACCACAAAAACTTTCTTCCTCTAAGTTGACTTTCACAGGTATTTTGTCCAGCAACAGAAAGCTGAGTAACACATTGAGTATTATTACTATACACAATTATATGTGGGATGCTTTTATATGACTGGCAACACAGAAGGTTTGTTTACATTGGCACAACCACAGGGAAGTGAGGAATGCATTGTGCTACAAAGTCACAGTGAATATGGCATCACTATATGATAGGAAGTTTTCAGTTCTTTTGTAATCTTATAGATCACCATCACATACATGGCTCTTTGTTGACCCAAACATTATTTTGAGACTCATGGCAGTATATATAAAAAAGAAATGGTAATATATGTGCCCAAGATGATTGGCTTGTACGAACATATTCAAAATGGCTTTGTTTATAATAACTCAAACCTGAATAACTCCAAGTACTGTATCTCTTAGCAGGAAAATGGGTATATGGTTTGCTGTGTACTCAAGTGTTGGAACAGTATTCAGTGATGAAAAGAAAAGAACAACTGAGGCACACAAAAACCTGGACGAATCACAAAAGCTTTGTGCTAAGTGGAAGAAGTTAGACACAAACAACTGTATATGGTAAGACTCTATTTATATGAAGCCCAAATCAGACTAATGTATGTTTATTGAAATTAGTGACCAAAAATCATTATCATTAGTTATCAAAATTATCAATAGTTATCAAAAATCATTTGAAATCATTAGTGAGCAAAACTAATGTATGGTTATTGAAATCAGATATTGATCATGAAGAGAATTTGACTGGAAAAGAATGAAAATAGAGCCATTTGCTGTGAGCATAGAAATAGTCTAGATCTTGTTTTGGTAGAAGTTATAAGAGGGTACACAAATGTCAAAACTCTGTGACTTGAGAAAGTTCCATTTTGGTAGTTTCCAAGTAGATCAAATCACCTATACATTACTGTAAACAAAATGTTAAAAGCAACTCCTTGAAGCTACTGGAGAAAGGAAAAATCAGATTCTGGAAGGTGGGTGGGACTTGGATAAAGAAAACAAAATGGGGTGAATTTCATGTTTGTGTGGCTTTCAACCTTAGGGCAAGCCCTGGTTTGTACCCTGCAGAGCAGCTAGAACTCAGATATAAGTGGGCTGCCTTGCTGGCATGAAGAAAAACAGAGCAGAAATAGGGAAGGGTGGAGGGGGTGAAGGGCGCACAGGTAATGGGGAAAAAATAAGAACCAAGATACATCATGTACAGGTACAAGCACCCAATGATAAATGTAAATGTATTGTATACCTAAAATGTACCTATAAAAGAATTTAAGCAACAAAAGAAAAAAAGAAAAACAGCAGAGGTTGGGTTGCACAAGGCAGCTGGGAAATGAAAGGATAATAGAAAAATAACAAAGAGAGGGAGAGAGAGAGACTCAGAAACTGTGAATACACTCCACACAAACCTTCTGTCATCTCCTGACTAAACATGCATGGGAAGATGTCTAGCATCCGGCTTAAACTGGAAGAAGAGAGCTGAAATTTCAGCTGCCTCCATCTGCAGGCAATTTGAGTCCAGCCAAGGTATGTGCCTGCTAGCATGAAAAATAAGTATTTTAAAAGAAACATTATAGAGTCCAACGTCTTTTAAAGCAAATCATTTGTTCAGAATATAAACCAAAATTGTTCAACAAGGAACAACATCCACACTCAAGCAATAAGAGACTCATCAGAGACTGGCCCCAAGATTATCCAGGTGTTGGAATTAATGGGCAAAAAATTTAAAGCAACTGCTATAGCTTTAGTATAAGATGGGGAAAAAAGCTGTACCATAGGATGATTGAAAAAAAAAGAAATACAGTAGAAGCATAAAGCTAGGGAGGAAATGGAAATTCTGTAACTGAGAAACTAAATACCTGAAATAAAAATTTGGGGTTAAACAGAATGAAAATTGTGCAATAAAGACTTATTAATCTTTAAGACAGAGATACAGAAATTATCCAATTTGAATAAAACTAAGATGAAAACAGATTGAAAATAAGTGAATAGGGCCTCAAGAATCACCAGAAATATCAAAAAAATATGTCTAACATACACAGAATATTTAGTGTTCAAAACAAGATGAAAGAGAGAATGACAACCCCTAAAATATTTGAAGAAATAATAGCTGATTATTTTTTCATATTGGAAAAAGACAGAATTAATAGATTCAAGAATCTCAGGAAAACCTGTCTAGGTTACAGGATATAGATATACACTGAACAATTCTTTCATTTTTTTCTCTGAAATTTTTACAAGAAAAAAATTGAAAAATAACAAAAAATCAAAATAAATGGTAGATATCTATATATCTTATTTTATGTTAATATTAATAATATTTCAACTTTTCAAAAGTAATCTAATTCTAAACTAGAATATATTGAGTACATATTCAAACTTTAAGCATTAATTTAAGGTACAATATCTAATACTTTTATAATTTCTGTTTAACATAGTTAAAGTGTAGCCTATGGAAAAGGGATATATGATTGGTATCATCCAGTATGGAGCCCATTCCAAAATCATCTGTCTACCCATCAATTCTCATTTTGTTCAATAAAAGCTCTTTATTTTACCTCATGGATAAATACACACATCTAATGAAAAGACGTAAAAAGTCAAAGAAAGTAAAGATGAATCACAACACAGTGACATATATTCCTTCCTATCATCTGTGGGTAACCTATATTTTATTAGCAAGAGTGTGCACGAAAATGGTATACCAAAAAAAAATCCAAATTATATTTAGGCAAATGATGATAAAGGATGCGCTTCAGAAGTTCAGTTTCCTATTTACTTGGAACCCTATTTCTTCCCTATAATATCAATAGGCAAAGAAAGAATGAGTCTCTCAGGCTTCCTTTATGTCTAATATTTGTTGTTATCTCTGGACTTGTCAGAAAGGGGTGATGATTCTGCTATTCTAGGAAGGGTTCTGTGATGCATGGTGAGCCGAGTTCATCTGAGACAATCTTCTGGCCAAAGTCAAGGACAGAGTTTCATTTGGCCCAATTTGAACCCAGAAGGTTTCAACATTTTCAAAGAAGCATCACCACTCTTTAACAATTGTTCTTTTTTGAAAAAAATGAAGCTGACATTAACAGCCAGGTGGATTTTAAAAGATACAAAAAGCCCCAAGGAAAAGGTAATGTGCTGCGATTAAGCTCACACAGAACTGACATCATGTAGGGGGAAAGGGAAAAAAACACCCACAATAAAATGTTATGCCTGTCCCTGTTTTCAATTTCCTCCCCCACATCTACTGCTTCTGTTGAAACTTGTTATTGCTAAAGTACTTTTTTTATGATAAAAAGAGCTACAGTTCTAAAAGAGCCTGTTGGCACCCAAATTCAGCTGTGGTGTTAGAGGCAATTAAATTATATTTGGTAATTTCTTTCCTGGGCATTTGATGTTATTGTTATTGTCAATGTGCCCTGAAAAGAGATACTTTCTATTGGTCATAAGCATAGAAATATCACAAATAATATTTTGAGAAACTTCAGAAAATTAGAAAATATTGTACTAATGTTTGAAGACAAAAACAATATCAAGCAACAATAGTAGAAGAAACTCGAAAGACCTAGCTATTGGTAAAAAGACATACATATTTGATGATAATCAAAACATACAAGTCATTCCAAAGGGCTCATCACTTAATTCAGGGTGTTTTAAATCCAGGAAGTTGTTTTCACAATAAACCTAGAACATAATTAACTTTTTTAAAACACTAAAACCTAAAGTCAGCAAGACCACAGAACTATGAAACCATGACACTTGTAGGTGTGTGTGTAGTCTATGAACTTACGGCGTGAAAGCCATGAGAAGGAAGAATGATAAATATTGAGACTATGGGATAGCAAGAGAGTAAGACTTGAGATTGCAGAATATTTTCAAAATTATAGTTGTGCGTTTATGATGGCATGAGACCTCCATGACTTTGTTATGGCACCTGACTTATTATACCACTTTACATTAAAGTGTATGATAAAGTACTTAAAGGTTCTATAGACTGATTTGGAAATAACTGTCCTGGATTTTTTGGTCATTTTTAAAAAACCATTCATATAATCGTTGTAGATTGAAATTATTGGAGACATCTGACCTTAGGATGTTCAAGCAGAAACATTCTTTACCTTTTTGCTCTTAAAAATCACCCCACATTATGAAGAACAAGAAACTTAAATTCCTTTTTGATTGCAGTTGAAACCCCACCACCACCACAAAATGGGGAGAGAGAAAAGAGTTGAAGGAGTAGTACGACTTCTACAGAAGGTAATACCAACGAGAAAGAAGCTGATGTCCCTGCAGACCTAGAGAAAGACTCAGGAATCGGAGACCCACAATACTTTGAAAGACGGTCAAAGAAAGGGGCAAAACACAGTGGTTTCATTGGAAATCTGTTTTAAGAGAAGTTAGATACCCAGTGCTTCACCCCTCCCACACAACCGGGCCACTTTTCTTCCTCTTCCACTACGAACTGTGAGAGGTAATTTCTTTAGGCAAAAACAATCAAAGAGTCTCTATATTCAGAAATAAAAGGGACAGACAAAGGTGGTATTAAAATACTACACTGTAGGGCTGGGGATTTAGCTCAGTGTTTCTGCTGCCTGCCTCACAAGCACAAAGTCCTGAGTTCAATCCCCAGTTCAAAAAAACCCACTACACTGCAATCAGAAAAAGAAATCTCTGCATACTACATATCTTCTTTTTAGCAATCTTTAACTGACAGAGTGACTACAGTTAGATTATTCATGTTACCAAGAAAGAGATTAGAGAATCTATGCTTCTAGGAAAGAGATTAGAAAATCTATTCTCTAGAGAAAGTGAACTAAATCAGAATAAAAACCTAAAACAGACACTGACATTTTGGGGTTCTTTAACATATCAGGGAAAGCTAACTGCCATAATAAATAAATCAAAACAGAGTAATGGTTCAAACATATTACAGTGATGTTTATTTGCCCTTCATTTGAAATCATTTTCTGAGCCTCATTTTCACTACAACCATAAATGAGTATATCAAGGTATTTCCATTAGCCAAGCCTGTAAGTGGCAAAAATCACTTCTAACGCTTCATTATATGAAACTCAATCATAAATCCACCTTTTAATTGCAAAGGAGACTGGAGAATGGATTTTTGTGTGCAGCTGGAAGTTTTCCACAAAAGCTGGCTGATAACACTACATAGAAGCTACTCGACAGGTAACCCCTGTCTGTACAATGCCCATGCATGCTTACATATGACCAAATATCCATGAAGCAAGATTAGATCACAATAAAACATAACAAAACTAGATGGGATTCTTGGAAATTAAAAGTACCACAGCCAAAATGAAACATTCAAAATACTGAAAAATAAAACTGAAATCTACCAGAAGGGGAAATAAACAGGAAACAGAAGACAAAAAAAAAAAAGAAAGAAAAAAAGAGAGAGTTATTAAAAAAAATCATTTCAACAACATTGAAAACTCAAAGATTTGCCGTCAGACTTTGAACATAAATGTACCCCAGCCAAATGAATAATTAAGTATGAAGATTGAACAAAGAAAATTTCAGACATGCAAAATTTTTAAAAAATACATCTTCCATGAATTTTTATTCAAGATATCAATAAAGAATGTGGATGTGGCCTACCAACATAAGGAAAATGAACAAGGAGATGAACATAGGGTATAAGAAATAGAAAGTAAGAGGAGATAGACAAAATGTAGTCTAAGAATGATGACAAAAGGATATTTCAGTATGAAGATTGTACAGAAAGGCCAGAAAAATAAATATAGATTGAAAACTTGAACAGAAATCTACAGAAGGAGCTGTCTCAAAAAAGACAGATTTATGATAAAAACCAGATACTACCATATGGAAATTTTTATTGAGTGTCAGACTGAGTAAATAACATGGCAAATCTTAACCACAAGATCAACAAAAACTAAGCAAATGGAAAAACAAGACTATGAATTACAGAAAGAATGAAGTGATACAATAAGGAATATAATCACAATATATAATAAGGAGCAAATAATATTTACACAGTCTATCAGTTATCTGTTGACATATAACAAATCACCTCAAACTTAGGGCTTAAAATCATGCAAGTTGTTACAGTCTATGGTCTACAAATTCAGGTGTGGGCTTAGCAGGGTCTCATACATCATGATTTTACACAGGGTGTAATCAAGCTGTCAGCCCAGAATCTGATTTCTTCTGAAGTCTCCACTGGGAGAGAATCTGCTTTCCCACCTGTTCAACGGTGGTCATCAGCGTTTGACTTCTCCCAGATTCTTGTGAAGGGTCCCAGGTCCTCACTGGCTGCTAACCAGAGACCCTTTTGATTCCTAGCGCTGGATTTGCCTCCAGGGTGACTATCTGCTTCCTTGAAGCTTAGAAATCAGTAGAGAATCTGCCAGCAGAAATAGGCTCTACTCAAATGCTGCTGTGTTCTACTGGTTTCAAGCAAGTTACTCAAAGGAGTGGATTACACAAGGCCAAGGACACCAGGAGGTGGGGACTGGCAGAGCTCACCTTAGAGGCTGTGTAACATACAGAGTCAAAGTAATTTTTCAGTTTTCACAGACAGAACTGAATTGTACAGTTTGAAGTAAAAAGTGTTATCAGATTCTATTGATAAGATGAAGGGAGAGAAAAGGGAACATAACAAAATTAAAACTTCCCATCTACCATGTAGGAAATCAATAGACAATGTCTAAAGGGTAGTAATATCAACAAGTCATTTAGAAATAAGAAGTTAAATACCAAGAGAAATCTCAAGAATGTTAACAATAATTATCTTTGGGAAGAGGTAGAGGACTGCTATTTTTTCAAACTTTTTTTTTTTTGGTACCAGGGATCAAACTCTGGTCCTTGAGCTTGCGCAGCAGGCGGCGGAACCACTGAGCTAAATCCCCGGGCCCGAAAAAAATTCAAACTTTTTATTACAAATATTAATTAAATGGGAAGAGGATGTGGTAGGACTCTGTTCTTTTTTGATATTATTTTGGTATTATATTAGCATATATAAATATAAATAGATATTAACTAAATAAAAGGAAATGATGGAGAAAAATAATCTTTTCTCCCTGGTAGATGAAAAAAATAATAATAAAATGTACAGCTTTACTTTGAACAACTGCTAAATAAATCGTGAAAACATATAAATTAAAATTTTAAAAATATAAATTAATTCCACACCAAAAACCCAGAGCTGTATTTTTTCTAAGTAACATTAACTAGAGACGTGACATTTTTCCAATAAATCTAAATGAAGTGGATTTTGATTGCTAAAGAAAATCCTTTGTGTTGATCACATTAATTGGATTTTAGAGTTTTAAAACAGCATTTTTATTTCAGTTTTCACTTTATGATTTTTTTACATCAGTGGCATTGATTTTTGCCTTCTAAAATGTAAAAAATATTGTCAAATATTTATTGTTATTTCCAGGTTTCCTTTGTAGTACAACAGGCTTTCTTTAAATTCTCTATTTGTGAGCATGGTGTGTGTGTGTGTGTGTGCTCACAAATATAGAGAAAATATTGCACTTTGATATTTTAAAATTTTTGACGTTTTCTCATGAGAGCATAAGACTTTTCTTGAATAAAATTAGTTACTACATCTGCAAGAGTGACTACATCTTCAGTGGTAGTCATAAAATTGTTTTTCTCTCTTTGTAGTTAAAAAAGCTTTTCCTTAGACTGAAACCAAAGATAATGTGCAACCTCAATTTTTATCTACATATCTTAGTGCAAAAAATTATAGAGCAAGTTTGTTTTCTTTTTATACGTAGATATTGTTAGATTTAGATCCAAAACGTTTCCTGAAAGTCTCATGTACTTGGCAGGTGACTGGATCATGGGGCTGCTGTATTTATCAGTGGCTTCATCTGTTGATAAGTTCAGTAGCTAAATGTGTGGTTAGGAGGCAGGGCCTGGCTGGAGGTGAGTCACTGGGGTCATGGTCTGGAAGGGTGCATTCTTGTCTCTGGGTCCTCTCTTCTCTCCTCTATATCCTGAGTGCCATAGGATAAGCAGCTTTCCTCCATCACACCCTCCCATCATAAGTTTCTGCTTTGGAGCCAGCTGACCATGAACTGAATCCACTGGAAACTGTAAGAGAAAGTAAACCTCTCCTTCTTTAAATTGTGGGTATTGGGTATTTTGTGTCAAAGATGGGACAATGACTAATACAGACGCTTAGGCAAAGATATCCAGAATGTCTTTTTTTTCTCCTGTGCAACTTTTAGTTTTTCCTAAAGGAAACTGAGGGTATGGTTTTGTTATTGCAATTTTTATATTTTGTTGATATTTTTCTTGGTCTAATCGATGATTGTGTACTCTTGAATTTAGGCTTAAATTTTGACTAGAAGTAACTCTGTGCCACCATGATATCAGAATTCTTAGACAGCCTACACTGAAAACTAACCCTTGAGATACATAAATAGGGTCCACTTATGTAAAGTACAGATGGAGTTCCTTGCTCAAGGTCACTTGTCTCCCCAGTGCCAGAAGTGGGACAATGCCTCATCTCCTAGTCTAGTCAACGTTCTTTCCACTTTGCTTAAAATTCTCCCACCATTTTTTTCTGCTTAACAAATGGATGTGGGGTGGTGTATTTTTTTGGTTTTGTTCTTATTTGAAAATAGCCTTTCCATTCTGAGATAAGGGATTAAATGTGTCCACACCACACTTACACACAAAGATTTGTAACAGCATTATTCTTTTTTTTTTTGCTTAAATCCTTTTATTGGTACATATAAAATGGAGTACTACTCAGCCATAAAGAATGAGAAACTGGAGACATTTATAGCTAAAAGGATGCATGTTGAGGCCATACTCTTAAGTGAAATAAATAGGACACACATGTGTAAATACCGAATAGTTTCTCTAGTGTGAGAAACTGAAAGTATAAATAATATCTACATTAAAATGTAGATATTTCTCCAAAAAACCTAAATGAAGTGGATTTTGATTGCTAAAGAAAATTCTTTGTATTGATCACATTAATTGGATTTTAGAGTTTTAAAACAGCATTTTTATTTCAGTTTTCATTATTCTTAATAGTCAACAAGTGAGAACAACCTAAATGTCCATAAATTGATGAAAGCATAAACAAAGTGTGCTACATTCATTCAGTGGAATGTTATTCAACTAAGAAAGTGAAGGAAGTACAATACGTATAACCCGTATTGTCATGAGTGAACCTTGACAACATTAAGCTAAATGAAAGAAGCCGGGTGCAAAAAGCAATACAATTCCATTTACAAGAAATATTCAAAACAGGCAAATCAAAGAGACAGAAAGTAGATTTGTGCACACCTAGGGCTGGGGAGATGGAGCAGTGTGTGCTAAGGATTGTGTGATTTCTTTCAGGGCTGATGAAAATGGTCTTCAGTTGGTGGTGGTAGTTGCACATACTGTAAGTGAACTGAAAGCCATTGAATTGTACAATATAAGGAGATTAATTTCATGGCATATTAACTATGTCTCAATAAACCATG